AAGGAGTATTCCGCGGAACCCTCCCGTGCCACAAATTGGGAAAGATAAGAACGTTATCTAGAGAAGATTACGGGAGCGGAGGCTTGGTCCCCTAGAGATTGTTGTATGTTGAAGGACTGCATAAAACTAACTTTTTAGCTACTCTGATGCCATAGAACTTTGAATTAACACCGGTGTAACTGGATACTTTAGAATATGAGTAGCTAGAAAGAGGAAAGGGTCAATCCATCTCCAATGGATTTAATATAGAACTGTCACACAAAAACATATTAAAATAGGGTATTCGAGCCGTGTTTTTAATAACAATCACGTAGTCTGAGGATCCGAGACTCAGCTATGTGGTTGTAGAAGAAGAAGAAGAAAGAACACTTGAATTACTATACAGTAAAAAGCCGAGGCATCAGTATAGCAAAGTGTAAATAATAAAGTTGGTTAAAATTCATTGGTACATCAAACAAAAACACAACATCAGAAAACAAGCAATAAACAAAACAAAACAAAACAAAACAAGTTCGGTTACAGTTCAGAAATTGGTTGATCAAAATATATGAAGTTACGGATACTAAAAAAACATCAGTTTTAAGAATTAAGAACGAGCTGGTATCAAAACTTTACAAACGATGTTATAGATAGTCCAAACATACAGCGTATATACAGAGTATATACAGATTCTCTTTCAAAAAATGTCTGGAAAATTAAACTAAATTAAAAGATATAGAACTAGCAAAAACGGAAATCACGCCACGTATTTGTATTTGTACATATTGGATTGTTTCTTAATTCACTCACGTAAAATTCTTTCAATTTTTTCTTGAATCCTGTTCTCGATTTTTCTAAATTGCGCAAAATTATGGCAGTGAATTCCATTTTTTAGAAGTCAAATGAAAAAATGATTTTTGTAGAGAAGCGGTTGAACAATGCTTGTCAAAAATAATTTGTTTCGTTCTTTTATTGAGCCTATAGTTGGCAGTCGGTAGTCTCAATGTATTTTGAAAAGCCTTCTTTTTGTTTGTAAGATATTGGTATAAGAATGTTATACACTTTAATTCAATTCTTTTCTCGATTCCAATGAACGATTTGCTAATGCGAAGAAGGGAAGAAGATTTAAATTTCGATCTGAAATATGTTCTTTTTAACGCCCAGTTCAACTGTTTCTCTAGAGATAGCATCAAAATAGCATTAATTTGTTGTAAAAATATTGCTGAATAATCTAAATGTGATAAAACAAGACAATGAAGCAAGGCAACTAATGATAATGTCGGCAGTTGTTGTCCAATTGTATCTATAGTTTAAATTCCTTGTGCCATTTTTTGGAGAATTGTTTTGATTTGAGCATAAAAAGATAAACTTGAATCAAGAATAAAGCCGAAATATTTGCATTCTGATTTTTTGGCTACATAATGCCCATTAATTACTATTGTATCAGTATCTACATTTTTGCTATCTTTTTTTTGACAAACTGTTATAAATTCCGATTTAGATGCATTCAGATTCAATTTGTTCTCTCCAAAAAATTCCGTTAGATTATTAAGTGATTTTTGCAATCGTTTCAAAGCATCCTCAGAAATTATAGAAGAGGAAAAAACCATACAGTCGTCAGCATATTGAACTAAAGTACAACCTTCATATAATCGCTCTTGTATGTCATTACCATATAAATTGAACAACAACGGACCAAGTACCTTTCCTTGTGGGACACCTCGTTTGATTTCAATCCAGTCTGAAAAGATTCCATTGGCGTTTACTCTTTGAATACGTTTGTTTAGGAAGCTAGCAATTAAAGCATTTGCTCCATTTGAAAAACCGAGAGAAAGCATTTTTTCAATTAAAACTTCATGCGAAATAGAATCAAAAGCCTTGGACAGATCTAATAAAGCTGCATCGCTTGTGCTTTGACTGCGATACGATTTGAGTGAATTCTGTTTCTTATTCAACAATTGCTGACATTCTGAATCGAACCATTCCGTTTTCGATACATTTTTTGGTTTAAAATTACGAACAAATTTTTTTAGATAGGAGCATGTTGCTGAAGAGCACTAGAAATTAAATAAATCAGCGTCGAGAACATGTTTTGTGCGTCTGTACATTGATATAAGAGATACCAAGGAAGAGCGGAGAGTGTATTGCAAAATTCATTTTTCTGATAATTTTTCGTAATGAAAGTCGAAATTATCCTCGGTAAACTTTTGCCGCATTTTATGTCCGTCAAAATAAATGAAGCAAAATGGTCGGTTTTATAAGGTGTATCAAAACAAAATTCAATGCCGTTTGTTTCATAGTCACTGATAATGTAGTCGATATGAGTTTTAGTTGAGGAACTAATTCTGGTCTCATCGTTTGGACAAAAAACCTTCAATCCATATGGAATAATTATAGAATCTAAATTTTCTTTTTCTTTGCTATCCAGATAATTTATGTTATAATCACCCAGAAGCGTAATTTTTTTAGAAACTGAAAATGCATTATCTATGTTAAGCGTTAATTGTTCCAAAAAATCAATAACGTTTGATCTGCTTGGATTATAACACAAATTACCTAACATTTTTTCTTTACTGGAAATGTTAAATGTAGATTTGCACTCAACCCACACTGACTCATATTTTTTTTTATGAAATAAATTTAAATCAGGCCTCAATTTCGGAGCCAATTTGACTGGTATATATAACAAAACGCCACCGCCTTTTTTTTTACCGCTGATTGCCTATCATATCTGAACATCGCATGCGTTCTAGGGTGGAGATTCCATAAATTGTCACTATCTTCTTTTTTAAGCCACGTTTCGGAAATTCCTATACTTGTATTTTCGCCCATATCATCAAGAAATTTTTTCAATTGCATCCGTTTTCTAATAATACTTTGAAAATTCAAATGAACAAGTTTAAGATTTGCACAATTGTTTGAGCAGATGCCGTAGAATGTTTCAATGGTTTCAATAGGACCAGGGTTTTTTTCAACATCCCCACTTTGGGTCAGTAACAACGCAAAAAGGAAAAGATAAAAGATGAGTCAGTGTGGTAGCTCTCCGCTCATTTATCCCACATTTCGATGATAATATCTTTTGATGGCAGCTTAGATAGCCCCAGTAAACAATGGTTTTTCTATATTTTCCATCTGAGCCTTGGAAATTAGAAAAATTGCACAAAACAACCAGAATTTAATATTCAGCATAATAAATTAAATAAATTAAATAATCGCCAAAGTTTGCATCAAGAAAAAATGCGAAACTAGTATTTCCTAAAGAATTTTGCACCGTTTTGAAAAAATTGTATCATTTCTGTCGTTTTTGGATCTAAATTTGATGATTGTTGGGTTTGCTTCATTCTGGGGCGGGTTGTAATCTCACATGTGTTTGCATTAATATCAGAACCTCTAAAAGAATCTCTGAAACTTTGCACCAAAATTTCAACACCCCCATTAGAAGGATGCAAACCATCCGAGCTAAGCGCATCGGTATTTTGACTAAAATTTTTGTTTATTTCTAAAATATCCAATTTTACTTCGCCCAAGTCCTTTACATTCCGTACTAGGAAACGAAAGCTGATCAAAAGTCGTTTGACTGATGGCCTAAAGATAGTAACTTTTTACTTAGCCCTAGACAGACCAGAAAATCAACTGGCAAGGTCGAGATGGTGAAAAACGGGTAGAGTTAAGGTAACTGACGCCTGCCAGTCGTTAATAGGTACTTTTTCTACGCCCCGTCGCTGTGTAGTATTCGGGCGAATGTTACATATTTGAGTTTTTTCTTTTTGTTTCAGATACGGTGAAGTTCCATTGGTATCAAGTTTCATGTATACCAAAATGAAAAATCGTTCCCAATTGGGTCAACTCCATTTTGCTTCTACAAATTGGAAGCCAACTATTAATAAATTCTTCTTCCAACAGCAGAAAACTAATTAGTTTAATTATGACCGCCGCAGTCGCGCCAACATTTTTCGAGCTTGCCAATAGAGGGTAGGACCTTGTACTAAAATTAGGGCCGGTTATCGCGGCGAAGTAGCGACTCGCGCATAGAGCGCCCACCTTAAACCATTAGAGGCTTAGTAGTCGGTTTACTAGTCGTTGCCGTCGAGTTTTTTTAGTGTAACGCGATTGATTATTTCGGTAAAATTGGGACTGATTTTTAATTTTTGTACCTTTTATTACCCACCCCAATCAAGGCCGAATTGAAATCGTTTTCTTGTTTACCTCCGAGATTTGAGTCAACCCAAACTTCGTGTAGTTTTTGGCTTGGTGGGTCTCGAACCTATCAAAAAGGATTTCCACAAATTTTTTTCACCGATGTTTTCCTTTTCACATTGACATCTATTGGATAAAGTTACGTTCTTATTTGGTTTTTTCCACTTCTATTTGTTTCTAAAAGTTTTACACACATTTTTCTATGTCTAAGGCAGGGATTTCAATACAATATCAATATATTGAGCTCAATATCAATATCTTCCATTCAATATCAATATCAATATCAAATAGGATGAAATTTCAATATCAATATCAATATCAATATCTAAAAGCTCAATATCTCAATATTATCACTATTTTAAGATACCAGAGACCAAATTCAATATTGAATTTCGAAATATATAATTAAATTTGTTTAGTTTTTTTTGCAATGTAATTGTTCTTTGTTTAATTTGTTTAATTTAATGCTTGAGTGAGTTGAGTTGACTGTATGACTGTTTGACTTAGTCAGTCCATTGAGTTATCTCGAATTTCTTTTGGTTTTTTACAGAAATGCCTGATGATGTTTTTCTCAATATCTACAAAAAATTCAATATCAATATCAATATCTAGCCTTCAATATCTCAATATTAAAAATTCAATATTGACATCGTCTCAATATTCAATATCTGATCATTCAATATATTGCAATCCCTGGTCTAAGGTCAAACAAGAGTCATTTTTCAGTTTTTTCTTTTTCGATTCCATTGTTGGTTACATGTTTTCGATTTCCAAGTTTGGTGCTAAACAGTCTTGTCGAAAGTTCAGCCAATCACGTTGCTCTCATGTTTTATCATTTGCGTCATACTTTAACACGCTAGAGATATTCCCTATCTTAATACATTGTGCTTACAATTTTGCATTGTTTAATATACGTTTTGATTAAAATATCCCTGTTTTCGACGTTCAGCCGAGCTTGCGACCCGACAGTACTCGCGATTCACCGCAGGTAACATTTGGGACGTCCCTATTTTTTCCCGAGATCAAATTCTGAGATTTTCATTTTTAAACATTGAGGTATTGCGAATACATGTTTAAGCATTGCGAATAGAAATTGCAATGCTTATACGTGGACTAATGGGGACAACGTATTAATTATTATTAACAGTTTTGTTTAATTTATATCGCAAACTGAACTTAATAAGTTATTTTAAAACTCGCTGTACTGAAAAAGAAACCCGACGGAACAGCTATGTCCAATTTTCAGTTTTAAAAAGCATTGTCTGGATTGATTAAAGAAGAAATTGACTGAAAATGAAAACTAGTCGACTTCCAGAGGACTTCAACTCGTTGGATATTGGGGGTGCCGGACATCAAGCCGACGGGACTTCAAGCCGAATCGTTAAATAAGGGATTTAAGCCGAACTTTTCTCATTAAGTCATGAAATATGATAAATTTGAATTTTTTTTGGAAGAGTTTCTCAATTTCATAATTTTTCTTCAGTTGTTATTGGCGTTTTCAAAAAATTTAGGCCTCCAAATGATGTAAGGAAAGTTGAAAAATAAAACAAGGTTGATGGCAATTTTCTTGTTAGTAATTTATGCATTTCAAAAACCGGCTGATATTGTGACCGCATGCCAATCCTAAGTTAATAATTGTCATGAATAACGCTTATTAACGACTAAACTTGCCTAAATTTTTGAAAAGCAATGGTTTACAGATGAAAAAATTGTGCTTTGAGGTTCTTGTTAAGTTTAAATTTCGACCTGAAGTCCTGCCTTTTGAAGACCCGTCGGGTTGTTGTCCTGTGCCCGGATATTGGGTTTTTACGGGATAATTTGCGTTTTAAAATGATGAATTTTGTACTCATTAGTCTTCAACTTTGTTTTTATTTCAGTTTCCTGAAAATGCCACCCAAAAAGAATCCCGTGAAGCCAAAAGGCAAGATGACAGCTTATGCATTTTTTGTCAATGCTTGTCGCCTTGAACACCACAACCAGTTCCCCGGCCAAAAAATTAAATTATCAGAATTCTCAACAGTATGCGCTAAGCGATGGAAGGTATGAAAAACTCAATTCTGCACCTATTGAATAAGTTAATAACGGATGACAAATGGACTATTAAATTAATTTTGTAAATACTCATGATTTCCAGGAAATGACAATGGACCAAAAGAGGCCCTTCGCAGAGATGGCAGATAGAGATAAAATGAGATACGAAAATGAGTTGAAACTTCTATTCCCCGGAGAAAACACACCCAAAAGACGAAGAAAGAAGAAGGATCCCAATGCACCTAAGAAGAATCTGTAAGCGGAGAATTGTAGTAGTAAACTGTTTTTTGCTGGTTTAGTTTTTAGAACGTAGTCTTAAGGATAGGTTAGGAGTTTTCTGGCGATTAGCTCAGTGATGTAATTTTAGTTTCACCAAACGTTCTCGTATGTCTGGCTTTATTTTATATTACCGCGACTTGATTTGGCTGAAACTTGAGCTCGCTGCTACACCAGTGGAAGATATGTACAGTCATTCATTACGCTGACTTTAAAATCGTTTTTTTTTTTCTAATTTCTAGTCGTTGTTTTTCATCAATATAATGTAATTGTGAGACGATTTGATGGTTTTAGGTCTCCATTTTTTATATTCTCGAAGCTAAAGAGACCCGAAATTATGAAAGATCATCCGTCGAAAGGCGTCGGAGAAATCAGCAAAGTTCTTTCAGCAGAGTGGTCGAACATGAGCGAAGAAGATAAGTCTATGTACGTACGGATGTCAGAAGAAGATAAAGTTCGATATCAGAAGGTTAGAACATCAAATGATTTAAAAATGTTACTCATCTTAATAGGCAGTCTTGTGGGACAAATTGTGTTGATAAATTATTTTGATGGAAAATTTAAGTTTGTGATTTCGAGTGAGTGAAGACTTCCGTTTGATCGAAAATATGTATATTTCAACGAAAGTTGTAAAGCTGCTAAAGTTTTTAAGTTTAATGTCTTTTTTATGCAATCTTCTGTGACGTTATTTTGCACCCTTCAATTTTGGATAATGATCCATTTCGTTTTTGTCTTATGTCTTTCCAGGTATCTTTATCAACTCCTCCGCTATGCTATGTCTAATCTTTTTTGTTCAGCAACTGGAGCAGTTCAAAGAAACAGGAACAATAACGGCGGAATCTATTTTTCAGCAATTAGAACAGTACAAAGAAACAGGTACTGTAACGGCGGCTATCATGGGTGCCCCTGTAGTGGGTGGCGAAGACGACGATGAGGATGATGAAGAGGAAGAAGATGAGTTTGCTTACCCCGGCGGTACGCATGGAGCGTCGGTTTCGGGCGCAGTTGCCATGACTTCGGGACAGCAACAGGCATTTCAGAGTCAACAAAACATGGTCACCTCATCTGTGCAACAGGGATCCTCCCAGAATAACCAACAGTTTTCCAATGGTCAGAGTAAGTATTTACCTTTTCGGATTGTCCGAAATGAGACAAAATCAATAAGGATTTGAGAAGTGCATGGAAGAATTTGTTGCATTTTATAAGAATAAGTAAGTCTTAATGTTCAAATTTGTTTTGCCCAGTGTAGAACAGACGCATCAAGATTTGAATAATTACCGTCTCATTTTTATGCGGTGTTTAGATCAAATGTACCAGACAGGGATGATGATTCAGCAACAAAACATGATGGGCGGTCAGCCTCAGTTCAATAATGGGTCGAATTCTGGACAGATGCAAATGATGCAGCAAACGTCACAACCTCAGCAGATGCAAGGTAAGATTAACTATAAGCAGTCTGGTCTCGCTTTTTCGAACGCCTCAAGTTACTAATTTTAGGCTAATTAGCGACTTTTTGATTTAAGGGCAGATGCATCCAAACTTCGGCTCTCCATCCAATCAACAGCAACAATTTATGAACGCTTCTCAGCAACAACAACAGAATAGAATGATGCAGCCTCAGCAACACCAAACTGTCGTATCAACGACCGGTAACTCCCTGCAACAAAACAACTCCCAACAGTTTATGATGTCTATGTCCAACAACGGACCTTCACGCACCCCACCGTCTCAACAACAGTTTTCATCCCAGCAACCGCAGAGCCAACAGATAATAATGCAACAGAACAACCAAATGCACCAGGGATCAGTTGACATGCAACAGCAGCAGATGCATGCAAAACAACTGATGCAACAAGCGGCAGCTTACCAACAGATCAACAATCCCAACACCGTTTCGGTACAGCCACAACAAATCTCTAGCACCCAAAGCCAGATAATAGACGAAATAAAACCCTCCATTCAAGATATTCAGCAGCAACAAGGAGATGATGTTTCTTCTTTGCAACACCAGGGATTGGCTAACAACGAATCCGTTCAGGCTAATTCTTCAAGCGACGATCAACACTTTGGAGAGATAAATATGCAAAATCAATCTGAGCTAAATGGGGCTCAGAGTGGAAACAACACTCCTCCAACTACCATGAAGAGTATGACTCCACAACAGAACCTACCTGTGAGTTCGGCCATGGAAATCAAACAAGAGTCAGTGGCTGTGCAGGACGGAAGTGGTTCGCTTATGGCATCCATGTAGACAAATGTGTAGAGCACCCTGAAACTCAACCTAACTAAACTGATCGTGTCGAATATTGATTAATATGATTAATACACGCTGTAGCGAACACTACCATTTACCAATTGTTGCAAAACCCGCAAACCATAATCGTTGACGCGTTTATTTGCTCTCTATTATTCAACTTTTTGTATCGTTTTTGCTTTTTCTCTATGTCCTAATTTTTGTGGATTGAAGATTCTATATTTTTATTATTGTTTGTCATACGTTTTGTTTTCAAAGAATATAAAATATTATTATGCTGTTGATACATTTGAATTTTCTGACAGAAGACTAGAAATAGTGATATCAATGTCCATCTATCTCGTGCAATTCTATGAGCTCTTAAACTCAATTTCATCTCATCAGCCAGAATTAAGTTAATTGTTTAAGAGCTCTTGAGCCGCTCAATTCAGCTGTCTTCTTTAATTATCCAACCAGCAACATTGAACATGTGAGGTAGACTAAGTTTGCCGGTTATTCTTATATTTATTGAACGAATTGTTAATTATTAAATTTGCATACCTTATTCGTAAGAGATGAAACGAAGTGGATGAATTTCGGAAGTTAAGTTTGACAAGTTTCTTCACCGAATTCGAACAAAAGAAAGTTGACTAAGCAATTAGTGAGAATCAACTGCAGAACCAGCCAGCTATTCAGTAAGATTCTTTGTTGCCGTTGGCTTTCTTGCTGTTTTTTTAAAATTGCTTGATGAACCTAATTTTGGCTACTGATATTTGTCGCGGTTGAGATGGGGCCTCCGCGTTTATTTGAAGCTTATGCAATGTATTGAAATATTTCTTACGAGGGAAATTAACTAATGAGGTTTTTCGGTGGGTTATTAATGACGTATTTTCATTTAAGTGTAATATGCAGCATATCGCTATTGTGATAGGATGTTTTTGAGAGTAATGAACGTAGTGAGTACTCTTATATAGGTTTCAGTGATTTTTAAGGAAAAAATTTCACGCTCAATGTTAGTTTTTCGCTGTTTGACTTATGGTTTCAGGTACACAAACAGTTCCTGCAAACTTGACAACTTGCCTCTTCCATTCTTAAGCAAAATTGTTTAATTTGTATTCTAGCATATCAGGGACGCATTACTCTGTTGACAAAAACCAATATTTACACTAATTAGCTTGCGAGCGTAGAGTATTAGTACGAGCTTTTTTCTAACGTAACTCGGGGGAAAAAAGATCATCTGGTGGCTTTTCTGCTATAATCAAAATCTTAAGCACTGAAAATTTCATAGCGTCTTTTCTGTTTTTTTTGTGGGCAGTTTTTCTGAAATGTTTAGCGTTCGTGGCTTAGTTGTAAATGAGAGAACGGGAGCCGCTAAATCTGTTGGTCGCAGGATCGAAACCGAGGCGTAGCTGCATTTTTGTCGTTTTCTCGCTAGAGCTTTGGCTCTATAAATCTAGGGAAGTTTCAGATGTCAACATTTTTAACAAAAAAAAATCCAAAATTTTAAAAAAGATTATTTTTTTGCTTAATAACAGTAACCGGAACTTGATGACCTCTTTAGTTCGTTTTATTTACTTTCCATTGGAATTTTAGCATAGGTGCAGCTTTACCAAAATTATAGCACCAATTTTTTTCTGATTTTGTGTAGAAATTGAGTTTCATGCTGATTGAGTTTCATCTGATGTATTTTTTTAATCTTCATTAAAAAATGAGACAATTTTCTTCTCATGAAAATTTTTTTGTCCTGTTTCAGTTCCACTAAATCTAATTCATTTAAAAAAATGTTGCCTTCGAAAATCAATTTTTTTTAATCAAAAACTGCATCGAAATGTAAAGTTCTCTGAGTCCTCAAAATTGCACACTCAAGTTTAAAAAGGAAAAATTATTATTTTTTGCGAAAAGTTGGATATGTAGTTAAATTAAAAAATTAACTCACTAAAAACATCTCGTTGTTTTTTAAGGTTTTCTCAAAAAAATAAATTAGTTTTGAACAAATTTTTTAAACAAAAATTAAGCGAAAATTACGCAGCCCACTCAAAAAGCAAGCAGATTCTCCTGGACTGTTTCAGACAAAACGTTTCAAGCAGCACAAAAATTGAAGTTAACTTTTCTGGAAAATTTTGACGTAATTAGATGTCATCAATTCCAATTTCAAGATTTTTCCGATAGGAGCTAATCTAAATAATTTTTATGCAAAAGCAGAAGGTATACAATTGATTGTTTATCTTTGAGAAGGGGCTAGAAGAGCTCATAAAATGCCTGTTTTTTAATGTGGTATACATTGTTAAAACTACTATCAAAAAAATGAAATATTCTTTGTCTCACTTCACGTTTTTTTTTGTTTTTGAAGGTTTACAATAACTCTTACAACGCAATGACCTACGGTGCATATAGTATCATTCACAAAATTTTTTTGTATTAAGCTAGAGATATGAAAAAAAATTAATTTCGGTTATTTTTTAGAGTATCCGATGTCTAGACATTTCCAATACATGGCAGATGCCCTAATTTTATTTAAGGTCGGTAATCTTGCGTCCATAAAAACGTCTTTTCGATTATATTTGAATAATTTTTTTAAATTTATTTTCAACCCTAAACTCTAACGAGCGCAATGCTTTATATTTAAGCGTGTGTTCGAAGACAACGCAAGGATTTTCTGAATGTACAAAAAAAACAAGACTCCTAGTATCAGGACGAGGTCCTTGCTGACTGCTCTTCAATTTTATTGAAAAAAAAACTTTTGAAAATATCGAAAAAAAATTATAAAAAATTTCAAAATAAAAATATATATTTTTTTCAGATTGTTTCTGTAAGAAATTTTCTCTCATTTCCTCCTGCCAAGTTTAAAGTGACGTTTTTAGCGTTTAGAAACATAATAATTACAACAAGTATGTTGCCTCAATTCAATTTGGAACAATTTACGAGCGGGTTAAATGATTTTGATCGTTAAAAGCACAAAATGTCTGGCGCGTTAATTTTCTCAAACTAGACTAAATTTGCTTTTTCACACTCCATTAAATTTGCAAAAACTAAATACAGGTAAAATATAGTTAAGAGTTTGAGCGCAGTACGTTCAGATGATCTAAAATTGTTGGTTCAAAATGGCTTGTTAAAAAGCCCAAATTGGTCTGGAGAAAAAAAAAGCGCCCGCTTTGTAAGTCAGAAAATTATGTTTGTATGCCTTCATGTCTGAGAGTTGATTTAAATTTAAATAGTCAATTTGAAAGAAAACAAAATGAAAAATGAATAAACAGCTGTCACCTACACTGATTTCGCTCTAAAAGGTTAACACGACATGTATTGTCACCTGATTTTTAGACATGGACTCCGAAACAAAAAAATCGGCAAGCTTCAAATTCTGGAATCAATATTCGCTTATGGTTGATTTTATTTCTTAATTTGCGTTTTGAGTTTGCCTTTTTAATCCTAATGTTTCATTTTCAAAAATTGCATATCCAATTTAGAAAAGGTGTGGTTGCTGGTAAATCAATTGTAACTTTGCTATGTTTGAAAACAGTATCTCGAAATATTTATAGATTTTTTTCTGAGCGTTTAAATTTTGCTGGAAGAGGGGTATGAATTTAGGCTCATTCTATTTTATTTACTCAAATGATTAACAAAGATGTTTTAAAGAAATTGTATGAAGTTTTATATGCTCCAATGATTGGCAAATTGTTTTCCGAACTGGAACTATTGCAGCTTTTTTTGCTACGATTATTCTTCTTTTTATAAAAAAGAAGAATAATCGTAACAAAAAAGCTGCACCAGTTCCAGTTAAGAACTTAATAGTTAAACTAATATTAGTAATTTTTGCCATTTTTGGGTATACTCAAAATTGCTAAAACTGTTAATATGAGTTTAATATTTAGGTTCTCGGGTTTTATTAGTTTTTCTCCGCCTTGAATTAATACTGAATTTGATACTTTGTGAAATGATTATGTCCTGTAGATTGAGCAAGTCACCACCACAATGTATCACAATCTCAGTAAATTGAAGTTACAGAGTTAAAAATTGTCCGGCTAGGAAGTCGGTACCTGCTATGACGATAACCGTTTTCGATGGAACTTTAAGACGACGCTGCATACAAGGCTCCAATTGTATTTTTGAGAACTATTAATCGCCTAAGCTCCATCTGTTAATTTTAAATGCCTTTTTTAACGCTCAGTTTTCAAAATTTTATGTCTTCTCAATGTCTTGTCGTCTTGTTTAAACAGCACCATTAATTTGTCTAGTTGAAATTGACTTTATCGTTTCATCTATAAACAAAATCGTCGCAAATATTGTCTACAAATCGTAACTTATACATTATTTTGATCTACACGAGGTTTTTTTTTGCAGAAAACAGCACAGTTTTTTCTCTAAAACTTTATAGTCATTTATCTAAGAACCTTTTAAACCTTAATGACATTTGTTTTTTAGAAATATTGGTTCTTAGACCAGTTTTCTAAGGAAATTCATCAAAGAAAAACTTTAGAGAATGGAACTTTTTAATCCGGCTTTTGTAGAAAATGATGAAATAATTGTGCTTGCAGTGTTTGTTTTTTTCAAGACAAAATTTGACTTTTCAACTAGCAATATTTCGCGTAATTTTTGATCCGAAAGGCATTGTTGTTGTGAGATGATCTAAAATATTTGTTTTTGCTGATCTCAATTTTTGAATGATCTTTTTTATGATGTTTTTTGTTGAGTTATGGGGATACAAAAAATGCCAATATTGCTAATTTGGGATAATTAACATGCAATATAATTCGAGCTTCTAACGCGTTAGCGGAGTGTCACTCTACTCGGTATATTTAAAGCTTTGCTATATACTAAATTTATCACTTTATACTTAACATAGCATATAGGGGATGGTTCTTACAACATGCAATGTAATTCGAGCTTCTAACGCGTTAGTGGAGTGTCACTCTACTCGGTCTATTTAAAGCTTTGCTATATACTAAATTTATCACTTTATACTTAACATAGCATATAGGGGATGGTTCTTACAAAATCTCTTTTTGATTTTGAGTAACATTTGTTTTATATAAAATTAGAAATTTAGACTAAAAAAATTGATTTTATTAAAAAAAAGACCAGTTTCAGTTGGCCAAAAAAGTTCTTTTGAAAATATTTTAAACTTTTTAAAGAAAAAAATTCAAAAAAACAAATAGAAGAATTTTTCTACTTCCTTTTTGGAGTCCGTTGGAGTCGTTGATGCCTAATTCACTACGTTCTTACGCGTTTCCATAGTTTTATCATCGCACGCCGGAAAAAAATTTAATCTCCAGTTTTTTTTCAGCTCTTTTCATCACACCACGCAGAAAAAAAACGACAATATTTTAAAAAAAATTTTTGTACTTTTTTAAGTCTATGGTCGGAACATTCTGTGCTTCTTGCTCAGTAACCGGCTATTTCTTGTTTTTATTGCGTATGGTTCAATGCGGTTTTAAGTGCACAGAAAAACAGGGATAGCTGGTTACTGGGAAGTAGTACAGCGTGTTCCGACCACAGTCCTAAAAAGTACAAAAATGTTTTCTCAAAGTTGTGTCGTTTTTTTCTGCGTGTTGTAATAAGAAAATCTGAACGAAATAATAGAACTTAGGCATTTTTGAGAATCATAGTAAAATTGGTCAA